GCAGCAGCCCCGGGGAGGCTCTTGTGGAACAACTGATGAGACACCTTGCACCATGGGGCAGCTGGAGCTCACCCCAAATCCCCACACTCCCCTTCACATCAATCCACTTCCGCCCTACCTGTGCCCACGACCAAGAGCAGCTATTTACCCACAGTCCCGTCTCTCCTTCCCTCCGTAGGTCTGGGATCCCAAGAGACCAGAAAGGGAGGGCGCTGTGAGCCCCATCTCCAAGGCCCGGGGCGGGGGTGGGGGTGGGATGCCAAGGGAATGAGAATCCCAGGTGGCCGGGCGCCTGCCTGGCATAAGCTGCCAAGCACCGGCACCAGCCAGCAGCCACAGCCCCTTCTCTCTGCGTGGCCTCAAGGTGTCCTGGGCTTTTTTTTGTCCCCAGATCACCTGGCGCCTGGGTGGGGTGACGGGCGCCGGCTCAGAGGCAGTGGGTGTAGGAGTCCAGAGGGCGGGTGTCCCGCTCTCCGAGGGCGCTTCGGCGACTCACCGCAGGGGAGAAGAAGCTGAGCCCAGGACCCTGGCACCTCATGCGGAGCTGGGCTGAGGTGTGAGCTGCTGAGAAAGGTGGGCAGCACGGGGCTCCTAACTTCAGGGTGCCGGGGTGGGCTCGGAAGATCGGGAGAAGTTGCTTCATGGCCGCCATTGTCGCCGTCCGCCCACCCCCACCCCGCAGTCGTTATCATCATCATTTTCTATCAGGACGCCGAGGCAGGGTGTTGTGTGGCCGGAACTGTGTCTTGGAGACGTCAGTTTTGCCCAAAGCTGGGAGGGCCCCACGGGACCCTGCCTCTCAAGGGCTGCGCCTGGCCTTGGCAGTCCCTGGCAGGGTGGGGCCGAGGTTCCCACGCCGGAAGCGCTTCTGCCGCCAGCTGGCCACGGGCCTGGCTGGCTCTGCTCGGCTCCCGAGGCCTGGGCCAGGGGTCGCAGCCAGGCGGATTGGCGCGAGTCCCAGTTGGGTGGGCAGCCCGGGGAAGCCCCCCCACTTGCTGGGTTGCCCAACCTCGGCCATAAAGCAAGGGTTACTGAGCTCAGGTGCTGAGCAGCAGCGGAGACAGCAGCTTAGCAGAGTGACATGGGGAGCCCCTGAATTCCAGGGGGAGAGAGAGGTGAGATGCACCATGAGCAAATATGTCAAATAAACCTACCCAGCCGGCCAGGTGCCAAGGGCTGGAGGACCGCCGAGCCAGGGGTGTAGGGGGCGGGGTTCGTGGTGCCACACTGTCTTACTGCGTGGCCTCTCGGGTGGACAGGAGGACCTGAGCACACGGGGTGTCTGGTCCCTGAGCCTTCCCCACAGACCTGCGGGCCACGGGTCAGGAGCCGGGAGAACAGGAGGAAGATCAAGGGGAGCAGGCGGGTGGGAGGCAGAGGCTGTGTGCTGCAGGGATGCCGTGTGGCTGGTTCAGGATCCCTCTGCCACTGTGTCTGACTGAGCAGGAAGCAGGGTGTTAGCATGGAGGGTGAGAGTGTCAGCTCCCCAAGAGGGTGTGAAAGCGTCACTAACAGGCTTTGCGATGGCCAGGGTGTGAGAACCAGGAAAGGAGAGAGGACCCGGACTCTGAGGATGGAGAGAATCAGGAATCTGCGGGCTGCTGGGGCCGCAGTGGGGAGAAGGAGCTTGGTTCTGAGACTTGCTAAATGTGAGGTACCCAAGGGAGCTGCTGAAAAGATAGTCCCAAGAGGCTGTAAGAGTCGGGAGATGAGAAAGTGGGGATTATGGGCGTCTGGGTTGCAGGTGGGGGGTCACCGCTGGGTGCCGGCAGCACAGAGGGTCTGGCTGCCCACTCCTGAGGCCACGCGCTTCCAAGCAGGGGATTCTGCTTGTTTCTGAGTGTGTCTGCTCTGATTATCTTCCACAACTAGCGGGAAGCCACAGGGTGGGTTTGGAGATCCACGGGACTCGCCGTGAGATGAGCCTGCAGGAAGAGTCCACTCATCATCTAACCACCTCGAGCCTGCACTCTGGCTGACTGCCAGGCTCGGGGCTCCTGGAGCCACTGTCACTTCAGAGCCAGTAAAATGGCAAAGTTCTGGCACCTTCCTTTTCCCCAGAGTGCAGTGTCCTGGGAAAGGCCGTCAGTCCCTGCAGGGAAGGCCGGGAGGATGGCCAGCACAGACTGAGAAGGGTCCTTCCTCACAGCGCCTTGGTTGTTCATTTTTAAGGAAGTTTATGAGCCTGCTGTCAAATACAGCCATTATTTAAGATGAAACAATACATACACTTACAATGAAATAAATCATATTAAAAACAAAGCTGATAGATTCTCAAGTAAGTATACTGATGCCTAGCTGCTTGTCTATACTCCACCTTCATCTATGCTCTGGAGACCACCTGCCTCTGCCTAGTCGGAGCAGGCTATGTGGAGAGACCTTCATGCCCATCTCTATCTCCTGAATAAACTTGAAACTTGTGCCTCTCTGGGCCAGGCACTAAGCCAGGGCCTGGATCAGGTCACACGTCTCCATGAGGCCTCAGCCTCTGGATGTGTGTCTCTGCAAGTCTGAGCTCCTTGAAGTTGTGTTAGTACCTTGAAATCAGTAGTGGGAATGTTTGCACCAGCGGAATTGGCACGGGCTGCAATCAGGAGCCATTCCTTGGTACCAGTGCAGATAAAACTTAACAGCCTGCGAGAGTTGTTACTTTGTGAGGAGCTCAGGAAGTTAGAAGGGTTTGTGCTGTAAAGAAGTTGTTGCCCATGGCTTTGATGAAGTTGATCATTTCACTTTCCTTTGATTCTTGAACATGAATGAAAATATCTGTCCACATTCACATCGCTGATCAGACGTGATGGCAACATACTTACCGGGAGGGAATTAGGGGAGCAGGGTGGGGTGCACCCCTACTTGTGGTCTGTGGATGAGTCGCGGGTGTGAATTGGCTACAGTTACTGGAGACACCATCTGCAAGGACATACACATTCTGGGCTTGTGTCCTTAAGGGACACAAATGTTGTGCAAATGTTCAGTGTGTAACGATACAAGCAGAGGTGGTCAATGACAGATGGCCCCTGGTGCCACACCTAGGTCACGTGGCGCAGCCCATCACTGGCCAAACTGCCCTTGGGTGACATGTGGCTACAGAATTTACAACAGGAGCGAGTAATATATAACGTGTTATTATTTGTGTATTGTGCGTTACACATCATTTATACCAGCATTTATAATAAATCTATGTGCATAAACGCCACCCCCCCCCCCATGCTGGTGGTTAAGTATTTGTCAGCCACCAGGCCTGGGGCCTCCGGACTGAGGAGTTCAGGGCGTGTGATGGAAGCAGCCGAGGAGACAGGGACAGCCAGAGAGGAGAAAGAAGCAAAGAGCCTGTGTCTGTCAGGGGCCAGTGCAAAGGGTTCGAGGAGGACAGCTCGTCATCCGGGTCCCACGGGGCTGAAGGATCCTTAAGAGGAAGCAGAGAGAGGACCTGGGTTTGCTGCCAAGGGATCTCGGTGGCGTGGCCTGGAAGGGAGCTCCCGACAGGCAGCCCACAGAGGAGTGGGGAGCGAGTCGGGCACAGGACTCCCGAGGAGCTGGGGAAACCCGAGGAGGGGCAAGGGAGGGTGACTCAGGGTGGGCGACACCTGCAGCCGCCTGTTTGCTCAGTGGTGCAGAAGGAGAAGGGGTGAGGCTGGGGTACACCCTGGAAGGGGAACAGGGCACCCAGCGAGGATTGGGGCAGGTCAGCCATTGTCCCAGAAGCAGGTGGGCAGGCAGGTAAAGCGGTGGAAAGAGGGGTACTGACCAGCTCTCAGTGCGGAGGGGATGTGGGGAGGGAGGTCTCAGGCATGCAGGGGTTTTCTAGGATGTGACAAAGCAGGGAGCCCCTAGAATGTCATGAGACTGGCGTTGGGTGTCAGGGAGCTCTTGCAGCCAGTAGTCGCGAATGTAGGTGAGCCCCTTCCGATGCAGCCTATTTGTAAAATGAGGGGGGCCTTGGTGGGGCTCTGGGGAGCCATGGAAGCTCCCCAGGTGCTCTGTAGGACCTAAGTTGTTGCCACTATGACCGTTGTCAATGAGGCTGCGTGACAGTGAGACCATGCGCAGGGACTTGGCGAGGGCTGTCTGTTTTTTTTCCAGGGGGTTTAGTTTGGGTGGGATCTCAGGGGTCCAGAAAACGGAGAGACAGGAGGACATATCAAAGGACCTCTCTGTCCCTGGCTTCTTGGCGCCAAGGGTCATCTGTCACTGAAATCGACCCGGGGGTAGCTAATGGCTGGCGCTGGGCCAGCAGCGGAGAGCCTGGGCGTGGAGGGGAGGGCTAACACAGCGTCCTTGTCCAGCTTTCCTGCAGAGTGTGGGCCCCATGTGGTGGAGGCCTCGGGGGACGCGTGGCCTGACCCAGGCTGCTTAGTGCCGGCCCAGAGAGGCACAAGGTTCAAGTTTATTCAGGGGGTCCAGATGGGCATGAGGGGCTCTCCAGCACTGCTGGCTTAGCATCAGGTGGCCCGCACCCCATCTGGCGAGCCCCTGAGGCCCTGGTCCAGGAAGACCGGGCCCTACCTGCTGCGGCTGGACGTGGCCTGAGGAGCAGGGGGCAGGCCCAGAGACAGAAGCCTGACCTGCGCCCGGCAGACTGAGGCTTCTCCACCCCCTTCTGGAGCCCAGAGCTTTGGGGTAGCTGGTGGATGGTGTATCAGGTGGCTGAGAAGAAGCTGCACTGGGTATTGGACTCCCTGGCAGCATAGGGAAGTGGATCTATTCAGGAGAGAATTTTCTACACAAAGGCGAAACCCGGAGCAGAGGCCCTGGGCAGGACGGCCTGTGGCTTCACGGAGCCACGTGGGTCCAGTGGCTGCAGCCACGTGGGACTCTGCACAGAGCCAGGACGGAGCCTGTGCTCAGCCAGGCTGACCCCCAGCCGCACCACTCCCGGTGGTTGGCCCTGGTGCCCAGCTATGGGGGTGCTGTTTCTGCTGGTGGCGGCCCCAGCCAACCAAACTGTTGCCGTCCGTCTCCTGAGCGCCTGGACACTTCCCTCTCTCCTTCCTGTGCAGCGATGTACCCAAGGGTGCCGAGAACTTCGGGGTCTCTGGAAGCTCCGGGGTGGAGATCTTCATGGTTTACGACCCAGATCAGGTGACAGAACCAACAGGCAAGGCCCTGTGGCCCCTGAATGCCCGCGTGGATGTGGTCGTGTCCGTGGACGCAGCCAGCAAGGACTTAAATGATCTCAAGGTAAGAGGCCACTGCACCCCAGGGTGGGGCTGCAGCTCTCTCCGAGAGCACCCCTGTTCACAGATCACCGCCACTCAACCGACCCCCACAAAATTTTTGGCACCAACATGCTTTCTGATATAACTCTACAGACTCCCAAAATATACAAGCCCACTCCAAAGCCGAAACACTGGGTGTGCGTGCACCCCCGTAAAACCGTGTGCAGTCACCCCTCACCCTCACAGACATTCTCTCACTCGCCCCGGACTCAGCCTCGACTCAGGCCACCAAGACCAGCCCCCACTCTGGTGCAGGCGGGACTCCACAGCAACACCCTGCGTGCACACACGCACACACGCACGCACACACCTGCGCTCACGCGACGCACACGCACGCTTGTGCAGGCACACGGCACGCACACGCTGGCGCTTGAACACATGCTTGGACACACCTGTACACACACACCCGGGCTTGCACACATGCGTGAACGAACGCACAACCCTGTGCTCACACACATGCGTGAACACACACGGGCTCGCACACATTCGTGCACACCTGGGCTTGTACGCGAGCATGAACACACACCCGGCTCGCACGCATCGGGAACGCCCCGTGTGTGAGCATGCGCACACCAGCCCCCATCTGGCTGCGCATGTGTCTACGGAAGAGGGGCGCGTCCTCGTTCTCAGGGGCGCCTCCTCACCGTCACAGCGGGCACCCCCTGACTCTGCAGGGCCCTTTCTCCCCAGACGAGGGAAAGGCTGTATGGCCGCCGCCGGCAGAGGCTGGGGCCCAGCTCCTCTGCTTAGGAGCCTCAGGCAGGGCAGGGCCTCGCAGAACGGGCGGGCAGAACGGACCCCGCTGGGGCTGGCATGGAGGTGGCGCACTTGGCGCGGGTCTGGGCGTGGGGAGAGTGCCCTGGCCCCCATGTTTCCAGATGGAGAAACAGGTCTAGAGAGACGAGCAACTTCTCGATGGCAACAACAGCTTCCCCTTCCTTCATTCTTCCTCTCTGCAATCTCTACAAATTCCCGGGACTCCGACGGCCCCCTTCAGGATCTGCCCCCTCCCTACTCCCAGCTCCCCCACATTCACGCCCGGGGGCCACAGACTCTCTGGCAGAGACTAGTCCCAAAACCAGCCGGGAGCCTGTGAATCTCCAGCCGGCAGCTGTGGGAAGGGAGGCGGGGGGCTGGGGAGCTGGGCACCCCAGTGACTACCCCGCCTGTAAGCAGGGCTGTGGGCCCCCCCCCCCCCGCCACGGCCATCTCAGAAGGGGTGCCATGCTGGCTTAGGGATGATGATGTCCCCACAGGTGAAGGTCTCCTACTTCGGGCAGCAGGAGGGCAGCGCCCTGGGCCACAGCGTGCTCTACCTCACAGGCGTAGGTAAGTGCCTCCTCCAGGCTCCCCGCTTCCGGCTTCCCCCCACCTCGGCTGTCTGAGGGCCATATGGTGTCTTCAACCCGGAGGCGCTTGGTGTGTGCCAGGGCCTCTGTCCCTCTGAAACCTGGGGCTGGAGGCCTGGGTGTACTCGAGGGCAGCAGGAATCTGGAAACTGCCCTGCTCCTGTTAGAGCCCCACTGGCCCCCCCAAACCCCACCTGTTGCTCTCCCTGGACACCCAGACCCAGCCCTGAGCCCCCTGTCCCTGCAGCCAGAGCCCCGGGAACTGCTCAAGGACAGCTCCAGAACCTCCGTCAGGGGCGGTGCCGCCAGAGCGAGCCCCTGAGCATCACAGAGGAGCTAGAGATTCAAGAGCCAAAGACCTGGGTCCCTTCCAGATGCGGGGCGCTGCGCCCAGGCCCCAGGCGTAGGCCTCGGTCCCCAGAGCAGGCTTCCTGGGTCGCCTGGGCTTGGGGAGGGCAAAGCTTGCCCCCACGTGCATAGCGCAGGCGTGAAGATGGCGTGAGGTGAGTGCCTCCAGCTTCTCTCCATCCCTTTCAGACGTCTCCCTTGATGTTGACTCCGCTCGCACGGGCAAGGTGACGAGGAGCCAAGGCGACAAGGTGGTACTCCTGGCTGCCCCGAGATGGCGGGGGTGATAAGTCAGCCTGGGGATGGTCCCGGGGTGGCACGGCCCTCCCTCTAGAAGGGCGTGGCTCCCAACAGTGTGGGGAACCCACCTGACGCTGCCCAGATGGCGTGAATGGGCATTAGCTCTTGTGATCTACTTGCTGTGTGACTCCTGAGAGCTGCTTACCCTCTCTGAGCCTCTCTTGAGTCACCTTGGGTTTGTGTCCTCTTTGCTTGCTGCCTTTCTGTTTCCTGGGCTGTATTTGGACCTGAAGCACTGTAGCAACTCATGAAAGGTTTCTGGGGGGCTGAAGGAAGGCAGGGAGAAGATGAGGTGCTGGTAGAGAAGGCCAGTTCCACCCAGAAGCATGAGGAGAAAGAAGTATCTGGAAACCAGGCCAGAGGCTGCGTGAGTGGAAGGGCTGGTTTGCAGAGAAAGGTTCTTGCTTTGAGGTCAAGGTGAAACAGGGCTGCCGTGCATGGTGGTGCAGATTGCTCACTGCACAAAGTGGCTGGACTCAGGTACTGGCTGGTGCTATGACGCCAGTTGTGTCTCGGGCCCTGGCGTATTGACCCAGAGGGGTGGACACGACACGAGTGTCACCTCGGCTAGTGGCACTCTAGCCTTGGGATTGGGGCTCATTCCCAGGAGTTGTCTTCCCTCTTGTGTCAAGCAGGGAAAGTGAGCCCTGCCTGCGGCATCTGGTGGGGTCAGCGTGGAGACATGTCGGGAGAGCTGTGGTCACAGAGCAGGGCTGCCGCCATTGCAGCAGACCTGGGGAGGGGTGTGGGTGGACCCTGAGTCCTGTGCAGGACAGGCCCTAGGAGCGCTGGGATGGAGAGAGTGTCCCGCCCCATCAAGGGCAGGGTGAGGCAGCTGCTGTCCCAGGCAGGGTCAAAGTTCAGCTAGGGAAGGCGCTTTCTGGGTGACATCATCCTCCCTCCTGCAGCGTGATAGCTAGGTGGGGTCACTGTGTGTGGTTGCGCAGGGTGTTCACTGCTCAAGGGTGCGGTGACTCTGGGATGGAGACTCTGGGTCTGGAGTGCCAGTTCCCTATTCTTCAAGCCTTCTTTAAACCTTTAGACAAACCCCGAGTACAGAAGTTTCCAAGGTATCGCGCAGCCAGCCACAAGCAGAATCCCTTCCCAGAGTCCCCAGGGTCCTGCCAACACCAAGCTCTCTTATTTTGCCCAGAAAACCTGGCGCTGGGGGCCCGAGGGCCACGGGGCTGTCCTGCTGGTGAACTGTGACCAGGATAATGTCAGGTTCAAGGGGGTCGACCTTGACAGCAGTCAGCTGACATCACTGGATGGTGAGAAGGGGAATGTGCATTGGTCAGGGTGAGGGTGGGGGGTACAGGAGGTTTGGGGGGACCAGAGGAGACCCTGTGGGTGGGGCGGAGGAGGGTGGTCTCAAGGGTGTCCTCTCCAGACCTGCAGGACATGTCTCCGATGGTGCTGACCTGTGAAGGCCCCGACAAGCTCTTCGACAGCCACAAGCTGGTCTTGAACGTGTCGTCTTCTGATTCCAAAAGAGTGAGGGTCTTCTGTGCTAGGGGTGAGTGACCTTTGGGGCCTCTTCCCTCCTGGCTTGGCCTCTGCTTCGCAAACTCTCCCTTCTCTTCTCCATCTCCCTCCCTTCCTGGGTAACTCACTACAGCTTACAAACAGCACTCCGTGAACACCTAACACCGTACCCAAGGAGGTTTGGAAACTGGTCCCATTTCACAGAGGGGAAAACTGAGCTCAGATGCACGAAGTCGCAGTTCAAGTGGGGGTGCAGCAGGCATCTGAACCTGGTCTTTGGGGTCTGCGAACTCCTCCTCTTTCTACAGCTCCCCCTCCTCCCACCCCCACCCCCACCCTGCCCTTGGGTTAGGTAGCATGTGCTGAGCGATGCTTCGCAGCACCGGCCAGGCCGAGGAGGGGTGCGGAGGGCCCGTGGTGGAGCGGGAGCCTGCAACACCGAGGCCCAGGCCTGCGCTCACAAACCAACTGTCCTGCCAGAGGTTTTCTGTCCAAGCCTGTGACTCCCATCCATGTCCCAATCCTTCAGCCCGAGGCGCCTTTACTCATCTTCATAAATCCAAGAGGCCTCTCCTACTCCTTCCTGCGACCTCTTCACCCTCCTCTCTTCCAAATGACCCAGGACTTGCTATTCTGGCTCCATGAGCCTGGCAGGAGCAGAATGTTCCTTCACTCGCCCCTGAGGGGAGGTTTAGGCAGAGACCCAGCGGACGGCTCTTTCTGTGATGTCATAACATCCAGAAGTGAACTGACAACCCTGCCTGAGTGATCCGGAGCCTGCGGGGTGACGTGGCCCAGACAGCGCTGGCATTTTTACAGAAAAGGGAGACGAGGGGCCTCCCTGGTGGCCTAGGGGTTAGGTCTCACCCCTGTGGCCTGAGTTTGATCCCCGGCCAGGGAGCTGACTCACATATCGCGGCAGACCTCTCCTGTCCCTCAGCAGTGCACTCCATCAATCTGCCTGTTCTGGTCCCCACTCTGCCTCTGGTGAAGCCTCTCACTCCCTGCACCTCTGGCCTGCACCCCAGTTCTTATATGATAAATAAATAATAAATCTTAAAGAAAAGTGAAGACGAGACTCACATAAATATAAAACGAACCATTTTAAAGTAAACCACTTGGCGTGTAGTAGCTCTCAGCGTAGGGAGAATTATTCCAAACCCCAAGACGTTTTCACCGCCCAGGCATTCACCGGTCCCCCCACCACCCTCACCGCGACCCCCCCACCCCCCGGCAGCCGCTCTGCTTTCTCCATGGGTTTACCTCTTTCCTACAAATAGATTTAGACTCTACGTGGCTTTTTGCGTCTGGCATTTTCCACGTAGCATAAGGCTTCCAAGGTCCACTGTACAGGGCGCGGTGTCAGCCCACCAGTCCTTGTGGGGGACGATGGTCCTCCGCTGGGCGCACTGTGTCTCCACTTTGCCGTTGGTGGACATTCGTGGGGGTTTTCACACTTGCGTTGCTGCTTTGACCTCCTTACCGGCTTTAGAGCTCACACAGACCTCGTGAGGACCATGGCAGTAGCCGTTTTACGGATGAGGCACTGAGGCTCAGAGAGGGGGCGTGACTGACCCGACGTCACACAGCTCCCAGGCGGCTGAGCTAGGGCAGCCGAGGGGAGCTACACCACGGCCGGGGTCCTGCCCTTGGGCTCCCCTGTCCTCACCCCGCCCCCCCACTCCCCAGCACTGGCCCTGACTCTGGTTCCGTAGGTGGCAATTCCCTCTCAGACTACAAGCAGGTGCTGGGCCCTCGGCACCTGTCCTATGAGGTCGAGCGGCAGCCGGGGGAGCAGAAGATCGACTTCTACGTGGAGGGACTCAGCTTCCCCGACGCTGATTTCTTGGGCCTTGTCTCCCTCAGGGCCAGCCTGCTGGACACGGGGGTATGTGCAGCCTTAGGGGCTAGAGAGGGAGCTGAGGTTTGGGGGACCAGTTCGAGGCTCTGGGGCTGCCGGCAGCTGGCTGTGGGATCTGGAGGCCCGATGGGGTGCCCTGCAGGACCCACTGAGTCCTCATTCCCGCCCCCCCAGACCCAGCCTGAAGTGCCCCTCTTCACAGACACCGTGGCCTTCCGCACGGCCCCCTGGATCATGACCCCCAACACCCAGCCCCCCCTGGAGTTGTATGTGTGCAGGTAAGGCAGCTTGTCCCCTTTCTGGACCCGCAGAGAGGAGCAGGGTGCTGGGTCTGGGCTGGGCCTGTGCTCGGACCGGATGGCTTCTCCGGCGCTCAGGCTGGGCGCTCAGCAGCAAGCCGGCCTGGCCTGTCAGCCGCGTCCTGCCTCGGCTCCGAGGTGGAGGTCACCTGCTCATGCTGCAGTGCCCCTGCCCCGAGCCGGCTGGCAGTAGAGGTTTACCTCAGTGCAGCCCTGCTCAGCCGGCTGGCGGTGCGGACCACCTGCTTGCTCCCACGTGGGTGTGCCGGCGGTGAACACGGGAGCCCGGCCCCCCAGATCTGCCGGGACAGGGCCAACCTGGGCCTGGGCCCTTCTGCCATAACTCAGAATCCTTATCAGGCCGCTTGACGGCCGGTGAGCCTCGGGGCGAGGCCACGCCAGGCTCCCACTGTCAGAGGTCGGATCAGGGGAAAAGGCACCACTGATTTAGAACAGAAGACAAAAGCCCGGAAGGATGTGTCCAAACAGGTTTGCTCTGATTCCCTGGGTCCAAGTGCGTGCAGGTGTTCAGAGGGAGTTCTCTCCTCCATCTGCTCACCAGCTCCACCCTGACTCCTTCGTTTAAGCCAGTTCGTGGACAGGAGCAGACGGGCTGCCTACGCCCCCCCACCCACCACCTAACTAGTGAGACACAGTCCACTAGTCCAGGTCACCTTGTGGCCGCGCCTGCCCATTTCAGGCCCCGGGAGCCAGAGCCCTGGGCTCGGGGGCCCCTAGCCCCCTACTCCTGATGTGATGGGGAGACATTGTTGCCCGTGCAGGAGTCTGAGCACAGGGACTGTGTCCCAGCCCTGTTTCGGGGAGGCAGGGGGCGCACAGGGCCACGGCCACCCGCCTGTCCTGGGCCCCCTGACCCTGGGACAGAGTCGATCATGTTTATGATGCTCCTGGTCCCTTTATTTTGCAGTATAGAAGACCTTCATGGTCCAAATGAGAAATTTCTGCAAGACATGTCTGACCTGGTGCTGAAGGCCAACTGCAAGCTGATCATCTGCCCTCAGGCTGAAAATCGAAATGACCGCTGGATCCAGGTGGGTGCCGAAGGGGGGTAGCCTGATCCCCGAGCCGCCGCCGCCACCCCCCCATCACCCTGGCTTTGGGGAAAGGGGCTTGCACTGGCATTTTGAGAATTCTATCATTTGTTGAGGTCATGTTGGTTTACAACACTGTATGTGATTTGGGGTGCAGGTTTACTCCTATTCAGGTGCGTGCACCCCCATAATCCTCCACTGTAGCCCACTGGGCTCCTCTCTCTGGTTTGTTCCCTGTTCCCCCTCCCCTGGTGGCGCCTTCTCCCTGCATGGGTTTCTGAGGGGCCTGGGTCTCTCTAGGTCAGCAGGCTGGCCTGCGCTAGACCCAAGATGGGGGCACACGACTTAGGGCTAGGCCCCCCACTGCCGGCACTGTCGGGACTCTCCTGCCTCTCTCCACCTACTTGGGTCCCAGAGCCTCCCCTGGGTCCCAGGACACTTCCCCTGGGCCCCTGCCCTGACCCTTCTCCCCAGGCCTGGGGTAAGATGCACTGGAGCGTCCTGCCCTGGACTTGGGGTGATCGCCCCATCCTGAAAACCACATGGAGGAGGCCATTGGGGTCTTTTTCCTCTCCTCTTCCCAGGATGAGATGGAGTTTGGTTACATTGAGGCCCCTCACAAATCCTTCCCAGTGGTCTTCGACTCCCCCCGAAACAGAGGCTTGAAGGATTTCCCCTATAAGAGGATCCTGGTATGTGACAAGGAACAGAGGTGGCTCCTCCCCATCTTGTCTGGTCCTTTGAGGGGTGTCAGGACACGGGGGTGGGGTGGGGGGGCTCTGGAAAATGCAGAGTCAGTAGGAGTTTGAGGCAGAATAAGTAATATGCAAGTAATGTGCAAATTGCCCCTGTTCTGGGAGGGCAGACTCTTCTTCCCCAAAGGGAGTCACCAATCTTGGGGAGACCAAATTGCTTTTTGGGGGTCAATGTATCCTTAGTGAAGCCCCAGAGCTATCACCTTTATCAGCTGGCCCTTTCTTCAGGCAACATGTTTTCTGACATGACAACCTGAAATGCCGTCACCAGGCCACCTGCCGTTCACAGACTGGCAACGAGAACAGCCCCAGAAACCTGTGTGACTCCAGGCACTCCCCCACTGCTGTACATGGTTACCCCTTTCATCCACATGACTCTTCTGTGGATCAGTACTAGTGCTATTATTATAATTCCTCTTTGCTGGGGCTCACGGTATTAAGTAACTCCCCAAGGTCACACAGCTAGTGTCGCACCATGATGGGAAAATGGGAGATGGCCAGTGCCTCTGTGCTTGACCATCAGGTCACACTGCCCTTCCAGGCGGCCCAGGTCTGGAAGGCCTCTGCCTGCTATAAAGACCTGTGAGTTCTTTAACAGCGTGTTGCCCGATTTCCAAACAAGAGGGAACTTTCTAGTTAGCATCCTGCTGCTTCCAGCTTTAGTTGCATCACACTTGGGGAAGAGGGGGTGTGTACAAAATGGTCAGAAGTTGTTTTTCAGGAAGTGGGAGCCCCCCAGGGTCACCCCCGCTCCCCACCCTAATTTCCTGGCCTAACTGACCGCTCTTTTTGGGGGAATGCATTGTTGATCCTCCCCTAGGGTCCTGACTTTGGATATGTGACTCGGGAGATCCCTTTTGCTGGCCCCTCCGGCCTCGACTCCTTTGGCAACCTGGACGTCAGCCCGCCGGTCACGGTCAATGGCAAACAGTACCCCCTGGGCAGAATCCTCATTGGCAGCAGCTTGCTCAAGTGAGAGGCCGGGGAGAGGGCACCGGGTGGCGGGGGGGGGCAGGGAGGCCCAGGGACTGACCACAGCATCCACGCTCCAGCCGCCCACCACCAACACAGTTCCCTGGTCTGAGATGTGGTCTTCACTTCCCGCACGGAATCCTGGGATCAGGGACTCCCGTTTTGCGGCTCATCACCTCATGATGCCTATTACAGTGCCTGACCTATAGTAAGGGCTCAATTAATTCCAGAATCTTCGCTTTGAAGGTCACAGACTCTTAGGGGAAAACTCAAGAACTGATGACCCACATCTGCTAGCCTGCTGATATTCTACGAGCTTAGTTCGCCACCAACATACATACTGGTTCAGATGAGATGGAGGTAGAGACAGGTATTTCAAGAGGGCTCATGTCCAAAGTCCAAGCTCTGGTTTCTTTGGAAATTTCAAAAGAGCCGGGGGGTTCTGTGCCCAGTGCAGAGGAAGGGGAAGGGCCTGCTGACCTCTCTGCCAGTAGCCTACATTTGGAGGACTCAGTGGTCACCACGTGGCTGCAGTGAGGAGTGGCTGGTCAGGAGAGCAGGGTGACAGAGGTGACTCTGTGGTCCCACCCTGGACACCTGTCACCAGGCAGGAAATGAGGTATTTACAGTTTGTGCTCAGAGAGGTGACATTCCTGCCAAATACTGCTCACTGGGTCCCACCCCACCTGCAGGCAGTTGAAAAGTGGGGTGTGAAGCAGGCATCCTGTGGGTCTCACCTAAAGGTGAAGTCCTGCAAGGCCCTGGGGTCACCTCTCCATTTGTGTGGGCCTGGCCTGGAATCCAGGGGACCCTTAGCTGCCCCCAGCCCCCTGGCTAACTATCTGGTCTTGGGCTCAGAGTAGCCCAGCTGTTCTGGTGAGGTCATCCAACCAGGCTGTTCTGGAGAGGCCCTGGCGGCCTGGAACAGATGACGTGACACCAGCCCCAGGTGCAGCCTGGTGCTGAGAGCCGGTGTCTGGGCTGAGGCTGGGGACTCACACCCAGACCCCAGCCGGTGCCAGACTGGCCAGAGCACTGGGGTCGTGAGGGCCCCCTGGCTTCTGGGCAGCCATCTGCGCTTCCTGGAGGGTCTCGGAGGGAGCGAGCTCAGGCTCTGGAGTCAGATGGACTTGGGGCTGAGCCGTTGCTCTGCCACTTCCTGGAAATGTGGCTTTCTACAGCTCCTAGCCAGTGCTCATCACAGGCCCTGGTGCGTCATAAAACTTGATGGATTCATTTAAAAATATTTGTTGCACACCTACTATGTGCCTGGCGCTGTTGAAGGTATTAGGGATATATGAGTGAATAGCTAATTGAATGAACACATTATTTTATTATACTCTATGCCTATTCCTCATCTGTAAAATGACCCTATTGAAAATCTGTGTCCTAGCTATCTAATCGGCCTCAGTGGGGATAAAGGATTCACGTTAGTCACCTTCTGAAGGTTTGTGGAGTTCGTCCTCCGGCAGTGGGTCTGCTTTAAAGCAGGTAGGAACTCACTGGACAAAGTACTCGATCACTAATCTGCCACGAACACAGAGCTTTACCCAGAACCTCATTTAATTTGTACCGATGATATCCTGTGAGGTCAGGATCATCCCCATTTTACAGATGAAGAAGTTGAGGCTCAGAAAACTGAAGAGAATAGACTCATTCATGCTTTCATTAACTGTCCTATAACAACTTCGTGAGGCTTCCTATATGCCAGGTGTGGGGTCTAGTGTTCTGGAATGTTCTGGAAGCTCCCGTGCTCAGATCAAGGAGTCCAGAGGAGAAAGTGTGGTCTCTAGTGTTTGTTCCACTACTTTGGCCACTCTGTCAAAAACTTGCAAGAGGCTTTTAGGAGACAAATGGGGCCCTGAGGCTCGGAGAAGATCACTCAGGATCAAGTAACACATTAGTGTTATAGTCAGAAACCAAGTCTCCTTGAGTGGAACACCCAGGCTGTTGTCCTGAGTCCCTGCCTTGGCTTCTGACCCCAGCAGTGAGCCGAACAGATAATTTACCTACATTCTAGCGAGGAGAAATAGACAGCAAGCCAACATAGTAAATAAGTACATCATATGGTTTACTACAAAGAATCCTCCTTGAGAAGCTGACATTTAAACCATGAGGGAAACAAAGGTATTAAAGATACTACTAAGTCGGAAGAGAGATGGGCCAAGGAGGAGAGACAGTCCGTGCAAGGGTCCTGGGGCAGGAGTGTGCCAGAGCTGTTCAGGGACAACCAGGAGACCGTTCGGGGAGAGCAGAATGAGTGAGGCCTGTTGTGGGACATGAGGTCAGAGTCTGGGCGGTGGGGCAGGATCATGACCTGGCCTGTCATTTGCACATACAGTAACCCCGTTATCCAAGGCTTCCAAGACCCCCAATGAATGCCTGACACCATGGCTGCCACGGAACCTACCTACACTATCTTTCTCCCTATATATACATACACACCTTTGATGAAGTTGAATTTATAAAGTAGGCACAGTAAGAGATTAACAACAACAATAATATTTTAGAACAATTATGACAATATACTGTAGTAAGTTACGTGGATGTGATTTCTCTGTCCCTCTTAAGGCATCTTCTTATACGTATTGTTTTCATACCACAATTGACCTAGGGTAACTGAAGCCACAAGGACTGCAGAAAATGGGGGGGGGGGGTTACTGTATCACCACAGGGTTAGGGACTAAGCAGTACCTAGTGTGAGGCGCCCCTGGCTGGCCCACAGCAGACACCCGACACCTGCTCTGTGGAGATTCTGCTGCCTTGGGGCCCCAAGCTCTGCGGCCCCTCCTTAGAGCCATCCTTGAGCAATTCTGCCCCCTGGTGGTGACTTTGATGCGCTGCAGAGGCAAGTGTGAGGCCTCCCAGGGCTGGGTGCCCTGTACCCCCTGTCTCTGGGCTCCCCACCCCCACCCCCCACGCAGAGAGCCTCAGGGAGGGACCCCAGCTGCCCTTCCTCAACCTCCCGTTTCTGATCCCTGCCACTTCCTGCTCATGAGAATTTTTGAATCTAACTCTCCTCCCTGATCTCACTGTTATTTTTGATTTAAAAGTCTTTGAAAATTTCCAGCAGTAAGTTAAAACAGAATACATGAACAAAATATTTCCCACCCTCCACACCCCCCAAAATAAAATCAGAATTGTTGCCACCTGGGGCCCCTTTCACCTCTGCCTACGGCAGAGATGGGCGAGACCAGCCACGGCGTCATGCGCTGCTCAGACACTCAAGACGACAGGTCATGAGCCTCTAATATGTGCGAGGTGTGGGGAGCCGCAGTGAGCTCAGACAGAGCCCCCGGCCTCCTGGGCGAATGTTCCAGTAGACGAGGTGATAAATGTACCAGTTGTACCAACGACTCTGCCCGTTGGTTCATAGGACAGACATCTTGAGCTTTCCCCGACTGTCAAGTCAAACAAAGCTGATGAGGCTGAGGCATGGTTCCAAAGGCGAGGGAGGGCCTCGTAGAGAAAGGTGGCGGCCTCTGAGACAAGCCGGAAGGACGGGAGGGAGTGGGCCCCCGGGAAGGGGGGGTGGGCAGGTCCTGGAGGGAGGACAGCAGGTGCCGTGGGCCGAGGCGGGAACGTGGGCAGGCCAGTGTGCCTGGCACAGAGCAGATCAAGGGGAGCATGGGGAGGGGGCCCCGCAGCCACTGTGGGAACTGACAGTTGCCATGAGGGAGATGGAACGAACATCACGGGGACGATCCCACGCAGCTCAAAGCCTGTCTCTGGTCAGACTGCAGAGAAACAGGGCAGCAAATACAGGCAGCGGGGCAGGGGAAGGGGTGGACTGGTCAGGGCTGGTGAGGAGGGAGGGAGGACCCTCTGGTTGGGTGCTGGCCAAGAACTTGTTCATGATCCGATTTCCCCCAATATGTGTGGGAAAGCAGAACCTCCTGTTTGGTTGATTTGGTTGACTGGTTTTGGGTTGGGGGGTGTTTTTATCATTGGTTCATAGGACAGACATCTTGAGCATTCCCAGAGCCCAGAAATATCCTACCAAATCATAGCAAATAGGAATGTTCTACTTTTGGATAATGGGGGAGCCCATGTTCTTAAAGCAGACAAGCAAAGGCAAGATGTATGATCCCTTTTGGCAACACATCAGAACAAACGTTTCCACACCAATAGTACCTGTGTGTTTGCACCCAGTCCCTGTGCCAGGGAAGGGGAAAGCCCCCCGAGAAGCTTCTAGGCTCAGCTGCCTAACCTGTGAGATGGGCATGCGCCCGATGCTAAGGCAGCGCCCAGCCCTGCGGGCACGAAGGCTGTCTCCACCCTCCTCTGCTAATAAAGGGTTGGGAAATGCTCAACCTCATTTCAGGGCTACAGGGGCTACAGGTCCATCTGACCAGCAACGACTAGGGGCCTCTCCTCAGGCGTCAGCTGACGGACGGCACAGCCTCAGACCGCCACTGAGAGGGGCAGGACCTCGAGGTCCAGTTTAAAGATTTATTTGTGCACACAGAATTGGGGTACAGGCCAGAGGCTCAGGTGCGGCGAAAGGCTTCACCAGAGAGAATGGGGAGCAGAACAGGCAGATCGAGGAAGTTCACTGCTGAGGGGAGCAGCGGGCGGGGTCAGGAGAGGTCTGCCTCGCCCAGACGGGAATCGAACTCATGCGGAAGTGGCTTCAGCTTCTCAGTGCTGTGCTTTAACCCGCTGCGCCACCAGGGAGGGCCTCGAGGCCCAGTTTAAACTGACCCTTCCCCCTTCCAGAGCCTGCCCCCGACATGGGCCAGGCTCCACTCTTTGGGAGACACTGGCCAGACTTTGGGCTCACCAGGGCAGGTTTTGAACAAGAAGCTGGGCATCTTGCAGAATGAGTCAGCCTTTCGGGGTCCCAGGATGTAAGACGAGGGTCTTCAGGTGCCTTTGGCAAGTGGAGGTGGGGAGGGCCCGGCAGGGCCTTCCTGGCCTTGGGGAGTTCAGACCTCTGGGGTGGAGAGTGGACACTGATTTGGGGGAGCACCCAGGAGCTGGGGCTGGGCCATGCTGCTATCAGAAGTGCCATGCAGCGAGGTGGCAAGAGACCTCCGTGGGGCAGGGAGCCCAGGAAGTGCTGAGCCACGCACGCACGCACGCAGCACGCACGCACCACGCACGCACCACGCACGCACCACGCACGCGGCAGGAGGCGACTGCACTCTCCCCTCCCGGCAGGTCCGGCGGGCGGCGCATGGCCAAGGTGGTGCGGGACTTCCTGCAGGCCCAGCAGGTGCAGGCGCCGGTCGAGCTCTACTCCGACTGGCTCTCCGTGGGCCACGTGGACGAGTTCCTGAGCTTCGTGCCCACCTCGGACCAAAAGGTGCCGCCCTCTCCTCCTCCGAGTCTCCTCTGCCCTGCCTCGTCTGCCGGGGCGGGATGGGGCAAAGTCCCGCAGAGCAGCTCAGCCCCTGTGGCCACAGTGAGCTGGGAGTCTGGGCACCCTGGGGCCAGGAGGTGTTAATGGGGGGCTTCCCGGAGGCGGTCAGAGCTCGGGTCAGGACAGCCATCGGTTCGCTACTTAGACTTATCCTCAGACTGCTGGGTGTTTGCTGTGACCCCACCCCTCAGCCAAGACCCCGGGGTGCCACTGATACTCTCTGGTTCCATTCATTGAGCACCCGCAATGGGCACTTGTTCTAATCCCTGTGGTCCTCCAACCTCTGCACGAGAAGGTGGGTGCCCTTATCATTACCCCCATTTTACAGATAAGAAAACGGAGGACCAGAAGGTCAGTTAACTCTCCCCAGGTCACACAGCTGCTAGGGTAGGGTTCCCATGCAGACTGGGCTCTGGCCAGCACGTAACTGCCCGGCCGTGCCTCCTCACAGCAGTGGCCAGGCAGGGCTTGGCGGCCAGGGGGCCAGTGGTCCAGGCACGGTAGCTGAGCTCCCTGTCAGCAAATGCCCCTGGCCAGCAAAACGAGGAAGGGCATGCAGAGGGTGAAGCTCAGAGACGACGGCCTGGAGCCAGGGCCAGCTTGCAGGACTGGGGAATCGCTGGCTCAGAGGCGGCTGCTCAGGCCCAGACAGCAGGCAGCCCCAGGGAGCGGGAGTGGGGGCGGCAGGGCGCTGGTGGGTGGGACTGATGGGAAGGGAACCCCAAGCTCTATGTGACCTTTGAACTCAGGTGGCTCCTGAGTTTAGGGTCTTCGGCACCTGGTGGGGGAAGCCTGTCTGCTGAGCCATTTCCCTTCTTGTGCCAGGGCTTCCGGCTGCTCCTGGCCAGCCCCAGCGCCTGCCTCAAACTGTTCCAAGAGAAGAAGGAGGAGGGCTACGGGGAGGCAGCCCAGTTTGATGGTGAGTGCCAGGGGCCGCTCCCCAGGGCTCTGCCCCGCGCCTCCCACGGCTGTGAGTTCACAGCCCCTCGGCTCACAGTGTGACCCTGCGAGGGGGGCACCCCCGTTGCTGGGCCAGGGTGGGGTGGGCCAGCGTAAGGCCAGCGACTGCCCCAGGCTGATGTACTACGAGGGTGACCTTCCGCAGTCCTGGCTACGCCCCAGGAGGCAAAGGGGACAGGAAGCCATGGGCACACCTGTGCCCAGCGCCCTGGCCCGTCCCCAGCCTGGACAGAGGAGGCCGCTCAGGCCCAGACAGCAGGCAGCCCCGGGGAGCGGGAGCGGGGCGGCAGGGATGAGGATGGGGTGGGGCTCAATCCTTCTCCACCCTCCTGTGTGTATTGACCACCTCCAGTGGCCTGGCGTCCCCTGACCACATCACCCCAATCTGGATGGGGCACAGACTTCCATATCGACAGCCCTGGGTTCAAATTCTGATCTTGCCACTTGCTGTCTGGGATCAAGGATGTGTTTTGAAATTCTCAGTGCTTCATTTTCCCTCCTCTGAATCGGGGGTGACAATGAACCCCATTAGCATTGTTTAATGTGTTGGGTGTCCCGGGCATGGTGGGCATTCAGTGCTGCCCTAACTAGGGGCCCTGAGCCAGGGGCCCTTCCTAGGAGGTCTGTGAACCAGCACCATGGTTTACTTGCAGCCAAAACCCCAGTGGCTGGTGGGGAGCCAGGGGGTCTCCACTCCCCATTTTCTTCCTCCTAGCTTCCCCATGTGGCCCTGAAATGGAGGAACATCCTGGCCTGGATGATGCAGGCCCAGGCCTGAGGTGGTCCAGCAGCACCCCGAGACCTCGCCATTTTCTTTCTCTTGCAGGGTTAAAGCACCAGGAGAAGAGAAGCATCAACGACATGCTGGCCGACAAAAGCCTCAGGAGAGACAGTGTCTATACACAGGTGAGGGGCGGACATTCTCCATGCACAGGTGAGGGGTGGACAGTCTGCATGTACAGGTGAGGGGTGGACAGTCTCCCCATGCACAGGTGAGGGGTGGACAGTCTCCCCACGCACAGGTGAGGGGTGGACAGTCTCCACGAGGAGGTGAGGGGCGGGCCTGCTGTCTGCTCTTGGAGGTCTCCCACCTCCACAGAGAACCACCTCAGGACCTGCTGGGGCAGGACGAGGGGCTCGGAGCCTCTGCCAGTCTTGGGGGCTGTTGCGACCTGTTGGTGGGAGAGAACCCCACAGTCTGATGGAGGAGACACCGGCCTGCCCTCAGGGAGCCCCGGCCAGCTCAGGGCGCTCTTGCCCTGCTCTGGGGACAGTGACCGAGGGCACAGCACTGCGCTCTCCCCTGAGAAGTCTGGTGAGATGTGAGACGCGCTCTAGAAATGGGGGCCTGTGGGAGCGAGGACTGGGGGGTGGGCATCCAGGAGTGAGGAGACTGGCCGGAAGGAGGGGCGGGACGGGTGTCACCCACATGCCTGGTGGGGAGGAGCCCCCGTTCTCCCTAGCGGTGCCAGCGCTTCCCCAAGCTGCTGAGGTGGCAGCAGCATGTGACTTGCACACTGGCAGTGCCAGCGCTTCGGGAACCACAAACTGCCCCAGCTCTGCTGCTTCCCAGCTCCGTGCCCTTGGGCGTGTCACCTGAGCCTCAGTTTCCCCACCCGGGACAGCGCAGCCCAAAGCTGTAGTGAGGATTAGCGCTGTGAGCTAGGGGCGCGCCATGGGGCCCCGTAAGTGTTGGTGCCCTCCTGGCTTCCTGGGTGCCCCTGCCTCTCCTCTGCCCCAGAAATGCATCGACCGGAACCGGGAGCTGCTGAAGCGGGAGCTGGGCCTGACGGAGCAGGACATCGTCGACATCCCGCAGCTCTTCTCCCTGAGCGACAGCTATGCGGAAGCCTTCTTCCCGGACATGGTGAGCGCTTCGAGGGGACGGGCCCTCTCCTGGCCCTGGGGCGGGGTGGGGGAGCGGGGCCCGGCGGGATGGGGTTCCTGGCACAGAGCAGGACAGCAGGCCTGTGTTTGCTCTCGCTGCGGATCTGAAACTCCCCGGCAAGGTGATGCTGTCCCAGGGCATCTTTGCCACAGCAAGGGTATTACTGGCATCTAGTGAGGCTGCGCAGGGCCACCCCCACCGCTCAGGCTTTCCCCCAAGTGAGAGAAGGGCTGGGACCCAAATCTTCTGGGCCTCAGCGGCTGCTCTGCCCCCACCCTGCTGCTCCCCAGTGGGGCTTCTGAGTCGGGTAGGTGGGGCCGGTGGTGGCTGTCATTAGCTCAGGGAGCTGACATGCAGATGAACAGATGTGATCTCACCAGAGGGGCCCCGGGGATGGGCCCAGCGATGCTATCGGAGCGGTTCTGGTTGAAGTGCCCATTAATCTCTTGGGAAAGGATGTTGGGGTGTTGGCAGCTGTGTGTATGGGGGGTTGCTGCCAGGATGGAGACCCTCCTGCTTCAGCCTGGGGCCTTTCACTCAAATCCCTGTCATTGGACAAGCCAAGATGAGGCACGATCCTGGTGTCCACGAGCTGACCGGAGCCCGGTGGGTGCGGTGGGGCTTCACACACCAAGCCCCATCCCGACTGTCCGCCTGGGTTGAGGTTTCCTCTAAGAGAACGCCACAGCCAGTGTTGGGGAGTCTTCCCTTCCTCAGTGTTAGGCACCCCCACAGAAAGACCCCCTGCCCAGGGAGACAGAGGTCCCCAAGTGTCCCAGCCGCCCCCACCCACGAAGTGCTCAGCACGAGTCCGACCAAAGTCAAATTTTGTTCTCTCAGTCTCCTGACTGCGTGGCCTTGAGTGTGCTACTAAGTTCCAAGTCACAGGCTCAGAGGAGGCTGTGGGGGTTCATAAGGCTCCATCCGGCACCGGAAGATGCTCACTACACGGTAGCTGCCGCCCGGGTGCCGGGCCCGCTGCACGCTGCTAAGTGAGCCACACCCGGCGTCCAGCATCGACCTTGCGCCTATGTACGTGTGTGGCGCACGTTTCTGGCAGGTCATAGAAGAATCTGGTTGTCGCAACGTTGTTGGGACTGTTTTCTGCGGTAGAAGAGAGCTGGAGGAGGGGTGGCTTCAGTGCATATGAAATCAGCACACAGGTCACTGGCGGCCCTGCACGGCCCGGGCTGCCTCCTTTCTGCTGAGCAGAAACTCTTCTCTGCTTCCAGAGACCTGAGTGCTCGAGGGAGCTCTGGCCCTGGCGGCCCAGAGAGGCCCTGGTACCATCAGCCCCCCAAAGGGGTCGCTGTGCTGTGTGCAGCCAGGCCTCCCTCTCGCCTCCTTCTTCTGCAGGTCAACATGGTGGTGCTGGGCAAGCACCTGGGCATCCCCAAGCCCTTCGGGCCCATCATCAACGGCCGCTGCTGCCTGGAGGAGAAGGTGCGGTCCCTGCTGGAGCCGCTGGGCCTGCACTGCACCTTCATCGACGACTACCTGTCCTACCACCAGCTGCTCGGGGAGATCCACTGCGGCACCAACGTGCGCCGGCAGCCCTTCCCCTTCAAGTGGTGGCACATGGTGCCCTGACCTGCTGCCCGCCTGCCATCCTCCCTGCCCGCGCCAGGGAGCACGTTTGAGGATGGCTGAGGGTGGCCTTGGCAGGCCCCCCCTTTCGGCTGCTGCCCCCACCTAACGTTCCCTTTGTGTTCACACCAAGAATAAGCCTCAGAAGCCGGGCCTCGGGGAGAGGGCCCTGGTGGGGCTACCCGGGAGGCCAGGGAGGGGTGAGCACCCTCTTCCCTGGGCCGGCTGTCTCCTCCAGGCGACCCCAGGCTGTGGCCTCAGCCATATTTACTTTACGTGGGTAAATAGGACAGGAAAACCCAGATTCCGAGGGCCTGTTTTAAAAAGAAAAAGCAACAGAAACCCTTTAATACCCGACTCGGTCCTCAGAAGGATGCTTGTTACCTGTTTGGAAAGCCTTTAATTACAAGTGCTGGCTGCTTCCGGCTGCAGAGCCGCTGAGAGGCCAGAGCGAGGCCTGCGGCGGACACGCGAAGAAGGCGGGAGGGGAGGCCAGGCGCAGGGGAGGCCGGGCCCCCCGTGGAGCCCTGTCTGGCCTCTAGGTCCTCGAACTCGGGCTTTGGATGCTGGACTCTGGATGTGAAGGGCTGGCCGGTCCAGATGTCATGGGGGTGGGGACCCCGATGTGAGGAGAGGGTGGGGCGTTAGGTTATCTCTGAAGGTGGGGCTTAATTTCCTTTAATAGTCTCTAATTACTCCCCTTCCTTCTGCAGGCAGTGGGAGGGAAGGCTGGCAGGGTCTCTCCCAGCCACCAGAGACCCTGCAGGTAGCTTGGGTTTCACCTGTGAGTAAACCCTCCAGGCAGGCTGTGTCCCGTCCCACAGAAGGGAAGGCAGGCTGCCAAGGGGGTTCACAGCCTGGTCCCAGGGGAGGTCACGGGCCCAGCACAGACAGGCGGGCTTGGCCCGGGCTGGGCAGAGGTGGCCCCTGACCCAGATAGGTGTGGGCAGGAAGGAGCTGGCTGGCCTTCCTTCCCACTGCCTGGGGGCCATCTCCCGGGCTCTCAGCCCCTGGCCTCCAGCTTCCGGGGGAGACCCAAACAGTCTGCGGCTGTTAAACTCTTAGCTGCTTAGCGATCAGAGGCTTGCCTGGAAACCTGGCGCAGGGAAGCAAAAGTCCTGAAACTGTTCTCATTTGAAGTATGTGTGTGGGAGGGTGCACCTGAATCTTCCCTTTCAGCAAGGCTCTATGGTACCCCACTTGTGAGCCCCTGACTGATCCAAGAGGAGAAGCGAGCTCTTCAGGAGCCAAGGGCGTGCAGTAGTTTGAGTGGCCCCATGGACAGGCTGGGAGGAGCGGAGTGGGAAGGCAGAGAGAGAAGCTCTCTGGAGTAGCTGAGTATGGGAAGCTCTGGAATTGCTGCTGGGGCTGTTGGGGGGGGGCCCTGATATCCCCTCTTTTCTGATGAATAAAATGTCAGCATACATTTCTCCAAATGGCTGCCTTCTTAGCTTCTGTTTGTTGGGTTGTGGGGGGAGGGGAGGGCGCCGAGGAACACCCTGCTTTCCACCCACCGGACTACCAGGTCCTTGGCTCAACTTCCGGGGGTCAGGAGCAGCCCCCGCCAGCTGGGAGAGCCCCCAGGCCGGCTGTCTGATTCAGCAGGATGGCTGGCACATGCCCAGTGTCTTGGGGCTGCCGGCTCTGCTGAGATGACTATCTGGGGAGGGTGAGTCCTACCTCTTCGTCTCCGCTCCCTTCTCTGGGCTATCACCTCCATCTCTTAGGGGAGAGGCGAGTTGGGGCCTCCTGGCAGAGATGGAGAATTCCCAGCAGGACTGGTTCCCAGAGGACCAGGACACCATGGGTCCCATCCCTGTCTCCAAAGTTACTAAGTTAGGCAGCCTCAATAGTCTGTGTTCAGGGGCCAAAAAATATCACTATACTCTTGCTGCTGCTTCAGATCGCATCGATGATGCTCACTGTTTTATTTCAGCTTTTGTTGAGGACTAAGAGGCAAAATGGCGGCCCATCTGTCGTTAACACTTCAGTCTGAACAAACCGCGGGTCTGTTTCTAAATGCTGGCATGAACTGCGGAAGTAAAGGCAGGGGGGTCTGTTTCCAAAGGGAGATTGGCTCAGCCCGCACAGTGGACAGGTCTCCGAGGACACTCCCACGGTCTGCATTTTTCTCCAGCTGTGCCTGCAAACAGCCAGCTAGATGTCAGAGGCAAGAGCTCTCTTACCCAGAGCAGTCAACCACAGGCCTTTTAGTGAAGCTATCACTGGAGCCACAGCCCAGCAACTCTTCTTCCTAGAAACGAGGGTGACAGGAACATCTATGCCCTAGATCAGAGGTCCCTGAATTGGTGACGTGTAATATAGCTGGGGGCTCTGGGGAGCAGATACCGGCCCCCACCCTCCATCAGTCAGCATCCCCAAGGAGAAAGGAGGAAATCTCTATTCAGCACCTTCTGAGCTCGAGGGGCAGGGCGTGTCCCTCCATTATCTGTTCCTTGGTTGGTGATTAGCCACATTTTCAACAGATGAGGAAACCAAGGTTCTGAGAGGGGGGACATGAGCCCCTGGGTCCAGATAACCAGTGCAACGGAGAGCCTGGGGCCTTTACTCCTGCTGTTCCAGGTGACTGGTTGCCCCCACCAGCCTCAGTTTCCCCTCCTGACTAATGCCCTATTTCTTTGACATTCTAAGCACCTCCCGCCTCCCTTTCAGCCTCACCATCCAGAGGCTTTGGCATCTAGTGACCACACAAACAACACGCAAAATGGAAATCTCTGAGTTCTGCAAGGGAGCTCTGCTCGCACTGTCTGCTGAAGCCTCACAACCACAATTTTTCAGATGCAAAAGTGAGTCAGGAACCAGTAAGCGACATCGCCTGGCCCCATGTGCTGAGGGAGGGCTGCCAAGCCACCCTGCCTCTAAAATCCACGCTCTTTGAAGAAAGGAAGAAAAAAGCCTAGCACTTCTCAACATGCATCAGTGTGCTTTAGGGGTGCTTGTAAAATATCCAGATGCCAGGCTGCTCCCCTAACCTGCTGCATCAGACTGGAGGTGGGGCCTGGGAATATGCATTTTCACCAGCTCCTCGGGCAGGGGGTAGAGACTCTCTCCACTAAATACACTTACTCTGAAAATGAAGAAAAACGGGGTGAGAATAAGCGGAAGGTGAGAATAAGCCCCAGACCAACACTCCACATCTCTGCACCCCTCCACCCCTGCCCTTACCCCCAATGCCCAGGCCACGTCAGTATCTGCAGGGACTTGTTCTGTTCAGGGGGAGAAATTAACTCTTTCAGTGCCCTGACGGGAGCAACAGGTTCACATGCAAATTATAGGTTCCTCCCAGCCAATCCTGAGCTACTGCTCTGGGAAGGGGCTGGGCTTCCAGGACTGGAGCCAATGAGCTAGCATCCTGGACTGCAGGGGCGGGGCCAGGGGCTTTTAAACCCTCTGCCAAGGGACCTGTGGGCAGCATCGGGTCGGCGGCCCAGGCCCAGTCCACGGCCGGTATGTCGATGCAGAGGATGGTGCGCGTATCCCTGGAGCACCCCACGAGCGCCGTGTGTGTGGCCGGCGTGGAGACCGTCGTGGACATTTATGGGTAAGCGGCAGTGGCCTAGGGGGCTGCAGGCACTTGGGGTCACCCTGCAGGCTGTGTGGAGCCGGGGCCTGGCCTGACGACCTCTCCCAAGCCTTGCCCTTGGGATAGGAGCCATTTCTGGGAACGCTGAGTCCTCCCCTTTCTCAGCGGGGTATCTTGAAGACCTCAGCCAAGGGACATGAAGTCTGGGACTCTCACCGGGACACAGAGGTCCCTAATGGCTGGGTTCCCATCCAGGGCTTTGGACGATGCTGCTGCCCCTTGGGCTTGGCCCTTTTTTCTGTCCAGACCGGGCTGGAGTCTGGTTGGAAGCACCAGAATAGGGGGAGGTATGGCCTTCCCCAGGCCCCAGCCCGTGAGCTCTGAAAACGGCATCAGTCACTCAACAAATCACGTTGACTTGTGCCCGGCACGGCCTAAAGCTTGGAAGACCTCCTGAATTAAGTGCTTGGACTTCAACTCTTGAATTTAACTTTCACAACTTTCACAAGCCGAGACACAGCGAGGGCGAACCACTTGCCTGAGTCACACAGTTACTAAGCGACTTTACACCCATTCGTGGTCAAGTGTCTTATGACCGGCCGTGTCCCTCTCGCTGGTGGCTGGAAGTGAGGCCCCGGCAGGAGCGGGGAAGCGCGGGGGCTGGCTCTCCAGTTCACTAAGGAGTCTCCAGAGGACACGTGTGGCCAGGGACTGGGAAGGGAGAAGCGACTCTAGCAGCGGAGTGGGCTTCGGATCCAGGGCATCCGATGAGGGGTGGGGAGCTGGCCACGCAGGGGACCAGGTCTGGGCTGAAGCCTGGAGGGCGGGTTGCCACGCGGGTGGGGAGGGGTTTGCTGGCCGCAGGCCGTGTCAGGAGGGCTCGCGGAAGGAGGGGTCTGTGCCGCCTGGCGCCAGCGCCTCCTCCACTGCTGGTGACCTTGGGGGTGACTCACCCTCTCTGGCTGCTTCGTGCCCTCGGGCACATGCACCTCCACTCTGACCTGCCTGGGAAGCCCAGCGCTGCCCTCCCCCACGGGACTTCCTTAGCGGACTGGGGTGACAAGAGGCAGAGGCAGCAGTACTGGCGGATAACATGAATGGGGGGGGCACGTTGGAGTTCACAGAAAGGGCAGAGGGTGGCACGGTCATGGGGTGGGTAGAGGAGCTCCGGCACTGACAGAGAAGGGGTGCTTGGGCACCCTCTTGGGGCGGGGGTAGAGCTCCGAGTTGGTTCATCCACACATTCATCAAGTATTGGGGGGACCTAGTATGTGCCAGGCATGGGGGCACGGTGGCGAGCAAAGGGTTAGTCCCTGCCCTCCAAGAACCCCTGGCTCTGGACCCCCTTGTGGGGTGCTGTGAGGGTTAACTCTTAAGACCCCTTCCAGCTGAAGGAGCTGTGGTCAGTCCCAGCGCTCAGCGGAGAGCCAGTCAGACAAAGGGCAGTGGGCACGTTCCT